GGCTTTTAAAACACTACACTCAATTACAAAGAAAATATTTAAAAAGCAACAACAATATCTAAGTCCAAGGAAGTAGTAAGTAACCAAGGAAGCGTAATAAAAAAATGTATAATATACATTTGGGTATCTTAATTATTTCAGTCTTCAAAGCATTTTTTCTCCTTGACAGGCAGTGATTGTACAAACCAAAATTGGCTAAAGTATCAAATTTTCTGTTTCAATATTCACTTGATTACATTTTTAATGTGATTTTTTAACTGACAGTTTTTCAGCAAACTTTGTTTCCAGTGAATCTGGAACATTGGTCTTTTCCATTCGTTTCTTATAATCTGTATAGTAATTCTTTAATTCTTTTAAAGCATTTGAATTATTTCTATTTTTTTCATTAAAGATTTTTTCTTTAATGAGTTCATAGATATTATAATTCTTTTTAGGTATAATATGTGTATGGAAATTCTGAAATGAAAATGTAATTTATAAATAAAAACAGATTGATGTTATCAGAGAATTGAAAATGTTTTTGGTTCATACCTCTAATTGTGGATTGCAGGGATTTTCCTTGATAGCCTTTAAAAAATAATCAGCTGCTAGCTTATAATTTTTGGCATCAAATAAATAAATAATAGCCAAATTTAGTAAGATGTGTATAAAAAGATTCTTGTTGTCTTCATATTTAATCAACATACTTTTAAGATGTTTGATAATTTTATAATCAAACTTTGATGTATTTCTAATGTTTTTGTACTTTTTTTGTATTTGTAATGTATTTCTAATCAGATTGAGATAATCCATATAAGCAGGGAAATTGCCTGTTTCACCAGTAGCCTTCAAATAATTTTCTTTAGCTTTCTGAAAAAAAAGTTTTATAGAAAGCTGTCATTAGTTAAAGAAAATTTTTAAACACTTACAGAGTAATCATTAGTTTCTTCATAATATTTTGCCAAATAATGATAGTAAGTTTTTGATGTTTTTTCTGGTGGCAGTGATTTTTCAACATAGTATAAACAACTTTTAGCATTAACAAAATCTTTTTGAGTTATAAAAAACAGGGCAAGAATTAATCTTACTACTATTTCAGAGGGCTCTTTCTGATAAATTTCATTGCACATTTCTGAATATTTTTCCCAATTTTTACTTTCTTTAAGAGATTTTGTGAGTGTCATGACAATTTGTCAAAAATCTTATGCGGTGACAAAGATCAACTCCGAAGGCACATCTCAACAGTACATGCAGAAGAGAGACAAATTCGTGATTGTGAAATTTGGCATATCGATGGCTTCAGAGACACATTGAAACTAAACATAAAAAAAGATAAGTTTAACAAGCAACATAAACAAATGACAACAAATTATGAAATTGTAGAATTAGTGTCAAAAGACGTAGATATGAATTATATTTGTTTTATACTTTTGATGATTATGTTATGGAAAGTATTACTGAGCTTTTTGAATTTTAAAAACGAATGCCTACTTATTAAAATACTCAAAAAAGAATTTCGTTCAAAAAGCATCCATTTAAACATTAAATCATTGTTAACATTCAAGAGTACTTGCATATTTTTCAAAAATCATGCCATTTTTTTTGAGAAGGCCCTCACCCAAATTTTATGAGCACTATTTTTTTCAGGTTTCTGAATCACTTGTAAGTCCCCAAAAAAAATTTCACGAGTGTGCTTTAAAAAAAAAAATTTTTTTTAATGGCAAAAAATCTTGCCTAAGAACTTATAAAATATTTTTATTGGGGTATGAGTTAATTTTTTTTTGTATATTGTCACACGAGTCAAACTCACTTTAAAATATGATTTCAGTCTCAGTTACATATATTGTTACTTATTTTTTTCAATTAAACTATCCGATTCTGATTCGAATAATCCATTCAATTATAAAAACACTTCTCGTAAAAAAAATCAGGTGTCGATTAAAATTAAATTTTTGAAACGATAAAAAAATAAAAACTTTTCAATTATTTATAAACAAAAATTTTTTTTTTATTTTATTACATTTATTTTATTTTATTTTTTTTTTTTCATTTTTTTTTATCATTTGTTCATCTTCTTTCATTGACCTTGATTTTCTTGTGAAGATCCAACTACGTTTCTACGATGATCCAACGTTGAACGCCACCGGGCCCCGATAAGATTTGAACCTTGAACCTCTATATGTCTCAGGTCAGAAAATTGTATTTTCAGCATACGAGCCCGTTTGAGGCTGATTTCGCGCTGAGCGTGCTCAGTGAGTAAGGCATTCGTATACAGTCGAGGAGAGCAGCGCGCTATGTGGCGACAATTCACACTTCTCCTCGTACTGAAATCAATTGAATACAGGTCGAGGAGCCCTGATTACAGTCGAGGAGCCCTGATTACAGTCGAGGAGAAGTGTGAATTGTCGCCACGTAGCGCGCTGCTCTCCTCGACTGTATGCGATCCCGCAGACTCGAGCCGAGACGACTCGCTCAGCTCGCGTGCGTGTAGCCTGTGCTGTCTGCTACATGTCAAAGTGGCAGGCCAACTCGCGCTGCCTTTAACCTCTCTTTCTTGAATACAAACATATCTACACGAGATAGAAATGTCATTTTTAATTCATGTTTGTGTTCGCACTAAACACGATGACTGTAAAAATGAAGCAGTAGAAACTGAATAATGGAAAGAAATGCAGCGTGACCGATGTTATACCGACTCTACTCATCAAGACACTAGGAAAATCAGTGTAATGAGATTCAAGTTGGCACAACCAGTGCTTTATGCAACCTCTCGTTTTTCAGAAAAAACATATCCACACAAGTTGCATGTACAGTATTTTACAC